TCAACAAAACTAAAAGGCAACCTACAGAATGGGAGATGTTTACAAATGATATATATGATAAAAGGTTAGTATCCAAAATAAATAAAGAACTTATAAAACTCAACACCCAAAAAGCTAATAATCCAATTAAAAATGGGCCAAAGACATGAACAGACATTTCTCCAAAGAACACATATAGATGGCCAACAGACACATGACAAGATCCTGATCATCACCGATCATCAGGGAAATGGAAATCAAAATTACAATGAGATATCACCTCACACCAGTCAGAATGGCTAAAATCAACAACACAAAAAACAACAGGTGTTGGAAAGGATGTGGGGAAAAAGGAACCTTCATGAACTGTTGGAATACAAAATGGTGCAGCCACTGTGGAAAACTGGATGAAGGTTCCTAAAAAAGTTAAAAATAACCTTATGACCTGGCAATTGTACTGCCGGGTGTTTACACAAATAATACAAAAATACTAATTCAAAGGGATACATGGACCCTTCTGTTTATAGCAGTATTATTTACAATAGCCAAGACATGGAAGCAGCCTAAATGTCTATCTATTGCTGAATTGATTAAGAAGATGTGTTATATATAAACAAAGAATGAAATCTTGCCATTTGCAACCACATGGATGGAGCTGGAGAGTATAATGCTAAGCAAAATAAGTCAGTCGGTAATGATGTAATATATGGTGATTAACATAACAATAAAAAAATTAAAAAAAATAAGTCGGAGAAAAACAAATACCATATGATTTCATTCACATGTGGAATTTAAGAAAACAAAACGAACAAGCAAAGGGAAAAAATAAGAGAAAGAGAGAGAGACAAAGCAAGAATCAGAATCTTAACTAGAGAAAAAAACTGATGGTTCCCAGAGGGGAGGTGGGTAGGAGGATGGGTGAAACAGGGGATGGGTTGAAGGAGTGTATTTGCTGTGGTGAGTACCAGGTATTGTACAGAAGTGTTGAATCACTGTATTGTACACCTGAAACTAATATAACACTATATGCTAACTAACTGGAATTAAAATAAAATTTTTTTAAAGTTAAAAAAAAAAAAGCTTATAGTCCATGAAGTACAGAGAGTGCCAAGGACAGACCAAATTGTTTGAAATTGAAGCATGTAGAGATATACTGAGAAATGAATTCATAGAATGTATTTTTAAAGCATGCATAGCAATTTTTTCTTATGACTGCCTTAATTTTCATTGCTTTGCCATCATATTACATTTTAAAAAGTTCATTCATGCATTTACTGCGTGACTGGGTTTCTCTTCTTCAGCCCTTAACCTCATACAATTCAAGGAAGTACCTCCTATTTAGTGTTATGTGATTATAAGCATGCATCTTTGTTCCCTTAATTGGATAACAAAATCCCATTTCCTTGATCCAAGTAAAACACTAGGTAAAGATCAAGTCTTTTACTAATATTTTGAGTCTTACACACTTATCTCTGAAAATAGTTTCAGATCCAGTGTAACACTGTTCATATTAAGACCAGAGCAGCTATTTGATAATAGCTTGAAAATGTGTCCATAGGCCGTTTTTGGCTTTAATATATAATACTTAATTTTAATATATAGTACTATAATATTCTTCTAATATTCTTCCCTCAAAAGATGAACTTAAACCCGAATCAACTTGTACAATTTCATGACTGGAGATTATCTCATCACTTCAATTTCATTTAATATTTCCAAAGCATGTATTAATAAAATGACTTCAAAATGTTTCATGTTCTTTTCACAAGTACATAAACTCATACATCTTCACATGATCATCTCCCAGAGTTTTTCTTCAGTATCTCTCTTCAAATACTAGAGTTTCTCTTTTTCTATTTATGGCCTCTGTTGTCTATATGACTTTTCCCAAAAGTTCATGTTCACCTAGAGGGAGTCACACTGAGGGTGAAGTATGTCCCTAAAGTAAAAACGCCACCTTCAACTTTGTCAAACAGAATTCATCTTCTGATCCTTCAATTTAGCCAGCAAGATTCAGATCAGATTCTCATATCATCTCAAACTTAAAAAACACAGATGCTTAACCCTTATTAATACTATTTATTCAATATCAACTCTGTTCCAGCATCATCTTGAGTGCTGTGTGTACAGTTAGGAACTGGACACCCAGTGTAATGGGTACTGCCTGGACATTGCCTTCCTGGGGCTAACACCCAGGGTGCAAATAAAAGACATAATGTTTGGCTTGTTTGACTCAAACTGTCCCTGGAACATAGTAGGAGCTCAATAGCAGTTCTTGAGTAAAAGAACAGATGCTACTATTAATTAAAAATTGTGATAAGTACTATGTAGGACAAGAGGAGACTTCTTTGTGAGAGAATAACAGTATGAAACGCAGCTCTGTGGAAATGCTCTGTAAGCTAAGACGTGAAGGAGGAGAAAGAACTAGAGGCATGTGCAGAGATTTGGGGTGAAAGGGTTTGGTTTGGTGCATCTGGAGACAGTGAAAGAAGGTTAGTTAGATGGATTTAGTTCAGTGAGTGAGCAGGACAGTAGTATAAATTGGCAGGAACCGGAACTTAGAGCCATGTTAAGGATTTTCAATTTTATCTTCATTTTAATGAGAAGTGTTTTAAGCAAAGGAATGATAAGGTCAGAAAAGCATTGAAGAGCATTTACACATTGCAGATACTTTGTGGAAAATGGATTAAAGAGAAGCAAGTGTGGAAATGGAGAGGAGAGAGAAGGAACATGTGGCGGTGGCCTGGCCTGAAGCAAAGACAATGAAGAGCGTCCAGAGATAAAATATATTTGCGTGGTAGAAATCACTGCAACAGGATGTAAGGGTGAAAGAGGCATGGAGAATACACGCAGATTTCAGGCTAGTTTTATTAATGTAACAGAGTTCTAAAGGAGTTAGCAGAGACCAGGAGGAAAGCCTATGAATAAGCCCAGTTTTGTAAGCCTTTTATCACATTAATAAGAAGTATGCTTTGGAATCATCCAGCACATTGCAATCCATATTTTCTTTAAATGGTTCTGTTTTAATTTTTCATTCCTCATAGGAATAGCAAAGCTCTCTCTTCTCAAAGCAGGGGAGAGAAGTTGTTGACATAGCAACTTTTTTCAGCTTGTAGAGGGCTGACAGGCTTTTCCACGGAGTATTCTCATTCTGGGAGGACAGGGCAGAGAATCAGACACCTAGCTTGAGCACTCCAGATGGCATTGCTGCCGCAAATGACTACAGACTAATCGATGGCGAATTGACTGACAGCTGGCTCTCTTCTTGTCTGCCCTTGCAGGTTAACAAGGTGCCCTATCTTGGTCGAAACAGGCTTCTGGGTTTCATTTGAACCTTTAAATATTCCAGGAAGTAAGCTGCTGAAGGAAGCCCAGTTTGATACTTAGGTACTCTTACAATAGTGGTTCTTAATCCTTTTGAGTTTGGTAATGGGTACTGTCTTTAGAAAAATACATATGCAAACATGTGCACAAAACGTTCATTCAACTTTAGTAAGTACACCCACTGAGGCCAAATCATGGACCCAGGAATATTTAAGAACATCTGAGATTCCAAAGAAAATTAAAACACTAACTTGAAAAGATATATGCACCTCTATGTGTACTGCAGCATTAGTTACAGTAGCCAAAATATGGAAGCAGCCTGAGTCTTGACTAATAGATGAATGGATAAATAAGATGTGGTGTATATATAATGGAATATCACTCAGCCATAAAAAAAGATGAGATCCTGCCATTTGTTACAACATGGATGGATCTAGGGGGTATCATGCTAAGTGAGACAGATGGAGAAAGACAAATACCACATGATTTCACTTATATGTGGAATCTAAACAACAAAACAAATGAATAAACAAACAGAATCAGAATCTATTTTTAAAAAGCAGGACTAGACCTATACATATAGAGAACAAACTATAAAATACAGAAAACAGAGAAGACAGAGAACAAACTGATGGCTGCCAGAGGGGAGAAGGGTGGGGTGTTGGGCAAAATGGGTGAAGGGGAGTGGGAGATACAGGCTTCCAGTTATGGAATGAATAGGTCTTGGGAATAAAAGAATGTAGTCACTGGTATTGTAATAGTGTTGTATGGTGACAGATGGGAGCTACACTTGTGGCGAGCAAAGCATAATGTACAGAGTTGTTGAATCACTATGTAGTATACCTGAAACTACTGCAACATTGTGTGTCAACTATACCTAAATAAACAAACAAATAAATAAATAGATAAATAAAATTTTAAAAAATAACATCTGAAATTCTATGACACATACATCAAGGAGGTCTGTTAATACCAAACTTTGCAACAAGAGATGTGGGAAACACGAAGGAAGTAACCCCCCCTGAAAACACAACTTTAGTATAATGAGCCAAGATTCTATCCAATTAGTATGCTAATCAATAACATCTCATCATAAACCTAGAATTATGAAAATGCATGGGTCTGGTGTCAGAAGACCTGGGTCAAATTGTACCAGCTGCTCAAGTGGATCATGAGCAAGTCCTTTAACTCCTCTGAGATTCAGGGATGTCATTTTAAAGCAAGGTTAATAACGGTCATACCTTCTTCATAAAATTTTTGCATGTGAAAATATTTAATTGCTATTAATTCTCTAGAAGTCCTTATTTACATATTTATTCAGTTTCACTTAAACCAATTTTCAAGGCAGTCACTTCACTGACCTTCAACTACTAATGTAGTCCCCATAGGGTCTTAGCTGCTGATGTGAGAAGGTGCTATTTACATTACATTACAACTGAACATCTGGGCATCGGGTTGGCAGAGTCTATATCTTTAAATTGAACATTCACAACTTTTTTTAAAACTCTAAATATGTTTCTCAAGTTTCAAATTGCATTATTCATTTACACAGAAAAATTAAACCAAGTGACCCCTGGACATATGACACCACATGTCCATAACATCACATGTAAGTGTTACTCCATAACATCACTTAAGTGTCAAGTGTAGGCATTGAATTTGACCCATTACAAAGGCATAGGGATATTTTTACTCACCTCTGTCACTGTCATAGAGATATGCAAACTTGTCCCATTGATAGTATTCAATCAAGCTAAGAAGTGCTCCTTTGAGGTCAGGTCTCATCTGAATGACAAATGGATGTGTGCCATCTGTTGGGAAGCTGGGAGTGATGAAGGAGACATGGAGCGTTCCACAAAATGACGTGATGGTATTTACAGACTTCTTGTCATAAAATCCAAAAATAGCATAGACTCCTCTTGAAAACTGAGAGCAGACTGAATAGGAAAAATAGAAAGGATAAATCATTGAAATCGGCATACAATAACGTAGATTTGCTTAAACTCCATGCCCTTTTATATGAAATATAAAATAATCAAATTGAAAAAATATAGAATTTATATCAATGATCCATCCAATGTCTGAGTACTTATTTACTTAGCACTCTCTTTGAGGAATTCAAAGAATTATAAAGCATTAAAAAGTAATTTTGGTTACAAGAAAATATATACATTATTTTTACAAACCACGTAAGTGGAAACCTATTTTAGGAAAGCCACATTGAAAAAAAAAGTGTAGGGGCTCTTGGGTGACTCAGTTTTGTTGAGTGACCAGCTCTTGGTTTTGGCTGAGGTCATGATCTCAGGGTCTTGAGATGGAGCTCCAGTGTGGGCTCCATGTTCAGCAGGCAATCGGCTTGAGGATTCGCTCCCTCTGCCCCTCCTCGCACTCCCACATGCACGCTTTCTTTCTCTCTCAAATAAATAAATAAATCTCTAAAAATAAGTGTAAGAAACAGCCATTAGTTATATGAAGAACAAACTAGTTACCTGGCATTTATACACATTCATAACATCTCATTCCCTCTAATATATGATTCTTTAAAAGGATTTATTGTGTTAAGGATGCTTCATACTAGAAGGTCAGAGTGCTTATGAAGAGTTCTAATGCTGACCCAAAGTTCTTTAAGAGAAACCAGATTCAAGACTCACATGATACACAAAAAGACATATCACCAGAAAGAGACCTCCAACCTTGGGTCTCTCAGTCAAGTAGCAATTAAATGGAGTTCAGAACCCCTAATTTTAATCTTTCTCATGGACTTCACTTACCTATACAAAATAAAAAATATTAACAAAATATTCTGATTTAGGACCATAATCCTTAAAAAAAGTAATATTTTATTTGAAAGTCCCCAGCACTCTACAATCCCTTACCCTCTAATGATATACAGTAAATGGCATATGACAACACCTTCTCCTACCCCTTTCCCCATAGTCAATCACTAATTATTGTTTATGCTAATACCTAAATATACTCAAACGTGGTCCACTCATCTGTATCTCCATTCCAATCATCCAAGTTCATTAACAGCCTATACTTACATTGTACTTGCCTTGTGGCTAGCATGATCTATGGCACATTAACTCGTTCATTTCTCATGAAAACCCTTAAGGCAGGAACTATTATTATTCCCAAAGAGGGATTTTGATAGGAAAATTGAAACACAAGATTTAGTGATTTGCCCAAGGTCACACAGCTAGTAAGTGAAAGATGTTTCGTTCAAACCTAGGCATCTGGATTCAAAGTCCATGCATTTAACTAATGGATAATACTGTTTTTCTCACTTGGATTATTGGAATACCTGCCCAACTTCTTCCTTAATCCATTATTCCCTTTCCATTCAATTCTCCACAATATAGCCAGAATAATTTTTTGAAACACAAATCTGAAAATATCTGAGAAGTAAGGGTTAACCTTGTCCAAGACTGAAACCTCTGAAATGCCCTATAGAAACCACCCATGCCACAATGCTTAATTCCACCAATTCAGGTCAACCACATAGTTTTAAATGATTAAATGCCTGATATTTTTTTTAAATCTCAAGGGTTATTTCAATCAAAGGAAATGGAAATAAGCTATCCAGTAACATAATCTACAACAAGCCAGAGCATAATACCAAGCATCCTTTCAAATTAATTAATCCCATTTAAAGGATAAGACCAGTGCAATCTTATTTCATTTTATTTTCTTTACAAAAAATAGAATATCTGTAGAAAAATAGATTTGCCTCATGAATAAGAGCATTGCTACAATACATACAGATTCTAATAACCAATTCCAGACAATCAATAAATAATAAGCAATAATTTTTAGCCAAGTATTAAATGATATGCAAGGAAAGGAAAGCAAGATTGGCTATTTCTGTGAGTGGCTTTTATTTATCAAATATTTCCATTTTCCTTTAAATACTAATCTTCAGCTTACTTCTGTCTTTCTAACATAAGTTTTCTAGGATTTCTAGGTTTTATCTGTGTACTATATCAATTGGCACCTCCTCCTTTATTACCAATCTTCTGCACAATAGTCTAATATAGCTCAGAAAACTGAATATATTCCTTTACATTCATTTCAAACTTGAACATAAAATAGAGATGAGATTTCTGCCCTTTTTTTATGTTCATATTTTGTCCTTGTCTGAGTACAGAAGTTGAAAATAACCTTTAATGTGTTTGACTGGGCTCATTCTTCACATAAGTGAAAAAAACCTTTCATTGTTAAAACCCTTCCAGGCAAATTCTGCAGTGATTTCTTATTTTATACATGGATATATGTGTACTGACATGTACATCTTAAATCTTAAGTTTGTTCAGAAATTGATTATTCCATATGACATATAAAAAGGGGAAATTGCTATAAAATTCTCTGGGTTGATTTTATTTCATTTTCCATGAAGTGTTGGCATGTTATCAAAATACCATAGGAATATCAGGCAGTATGATTTATTAATGAGACCTCTTCTTCTCATCATAAGTGAAAGAGCTTCTATGATGCGGACAGTAGCTACAACATCAGCAGAATGCTTGATAAAGGACGCTCCTGTTTGAATGCATGGCCAGTCTTAGTAAAAGAGCCATACCTTTCATTTTCCATTTGTTTTAGACTCTGAAGTGAGTTGTCAAGGGGCCTCCTGGTTATTGTGGCCATCTGGAAACGCTTGGCTTTGGCCCAACAACAGGCACAAGCTGTACAAGACTTCACAAGAAATTACAATTCACCTGATTCAAAAGGCACTTTTTTTTTCAGGCAATTCAGCTAATTCTCCAATGAGCATAATTTGGTAACAATGGCCTTTCTTTCCTGACTATCTCTGGTTCTTCCAAATCCTCTTCCCTTATCCTTTATCTCTTCATGGTACATATTCAACTGTCTATTTGTCTATACCTTCTTTTTTTTCTAGATATTTCTCTCTTCATGTCCCTTTTCTATACATACAATTAACAGTCATTTCATCAACGCTGCTCATCTCCCTCTCTTTACTTTAGGTCAATCACCGTCTTTGTCCCCAAGCATGATAAGGATATCATGGAGATTTACAACCAGGAATCAGTCAGAATGCTGACCTGAGTTGAGGTATTTTGTTTATCCAGTTTGCAGTGATCATCTCAAGATAAAACAAAACAAAAACAAAAAACTTTGTGCTTCACTTCTAACATTCTGTCCCCAAAATACCCCAGAGTATTTTTGCATTCTAACACTGATGCTTTCCCCAGTATACCACAGATACATGACCCTGTTGACAAAATACACAAGAATCTTGGGTGCACTGCCTTGAAATTACTCCTCACTTGATTAGAAACTAAATTGCTCATTATGATCTCAACTTTATTTCCCAGCTATCCTTCCAAATTTTATAGCCATTTCCCTAACATACATCCATCTTCAAAGACAGGATTTACTATCACTGAGAATATCCAAATAATGTGTCACAAGCGGTGGAATAATTCCAAAGATAGCTTTCTAAAGTTAGTTAGACAATAACAGCACCCTACATATATTCATTCTTTTCCTACATCATCTCTGGAGGCAGAGGAAGGAACAGAAAAGATCAGTTTCCCCTCTAGTTCCATGGCCCATATAATCACCTTATGAAACACTATTACAACTTTCTGAATGATTACGCTGATTAATATTAAAGTTGCATTCATGTCTTGAGACTCAAAACTGATTGCAAACTGGTAGGTAAAGATGGTCTTACTGAGTTCTACTTTAATAAAATATTTAATATCAACTTTGAGAAGCTCAGCAAAGCGAAGTCCTTTTAAAAGACACTTTAGGTCAAACAGCAGAAATTATCATCTCCTGGGTGTAAGTAATTTGCTGATTATTCCACTTTTTATTACAAGCCCAGATGATATAAGCCAATAACAATGCTGATGGTGCATCCACCTCCCATTTTTTTCTCATGGGTCATTCTGCTCATTGGTGCTGCTAATGTAGCATACTCAATACAGTCTGGAGGACCTTGCATGGTTATTCAGTAGAAAGGCAAAAAAAGAACAGGACATGATTTATTTTTGTTTTACATTTTTTTATACTAAATTGCCATTCACTTCAATGAAACAGCATAGGCTGCTTCATAAGCAGGAATAGTGACAGCCCCTTTGCAGCTTGTGCAAAGTCTGATAAAAGCTGCATCACCAAGCAATCCTGACTTCAAAATCTGGAGCCCACTGAAAATATCTCTTCTCTCCTCACTAAATTTCTGACATTAACCCCTTGCAAACTTTGACCCTGATTTTACTATTGATATTTCCCTATCATCTGTCAATAATGATCTCCTCCTCACTAAATCCAATCATCTTTTTCTCAGATCAAGCTTTCTTAGCCTCTCTGAGTCTATTAATCAAAAATTTGCTTCTTGATCTCCCTCTCTCTCTCTCTCTCCCCTGCTATTAGGCTGGTTCTCCTCCAATCCCTTCTCCACATTGCTGCCAATGTAAAATCATACCATCTTGGTACTTTTCCTCTCCCTCTAATTACCTTTCACTCACTTATCTTTTTTTTTTTTTTTTGCACATCCCAAATTAAAAAGGCATTCTCCAAGAATCTGTCTTCTGATTGTTTTTTCTTCTCTTTTTACATCTTATCTCTTAGTGGTCACATTTCTTTTAAGAAGGTCAAATTCAACTTTTTATGCATGCTTCCCAAAACTTCATTGGCACCTCAGTTGTCTCCCTTTGTCTATTTATTTACTGAACAAATACATACTGTAATCATTCAATGCAATGAGCATGGTGTTAGGCTTAGAAACTGCCACAGCAAACAGGGTAGATATTGTCCACGTTAGCTGGAATTGCTAGCCTAGCTCCAATCTCTCACCCTCCAATATCACCCACTGGAAAAATGTCTAATTCCCTATCATTCAGCTACTTCCATAAAAACAGGGGGAAAATCCTGAAAATTTTATCCTACAAATCATGTGTTTGTGTTGATT